TTTGAAAGGATGAACCAATATTGTCAGAAAGGATCACATTTTGACCCAACAATAAACACAAGAAATTAAGAAGTCGCTTTTGGGGTTTCACAATCATTGACAGAAAATAAAAAAAATATACATGTATTCATCCAATGAGAAAGAAAAAAAAACCATGTTTTTCTTGTCTATACTTTTTCAAACAAAATAACTTAATTAGAATATGTGCATATACCTACCTACCGATAGGTTCAAGTCCTCGTAGTACCCGTGTGTCTGAGTTTTCTTCTCTCTCCTTTCCTAACTTTAACATAAATTATAATAATCATAATAATAAATAAAATAAAGTTGCATATAGCTTGGCCTAAATTACATTTCCAAATTAAAAGACAAAGAGTTAGAGGTAATGATTATAAAGTATTTTTGTCTAATGAAATTAAAAGACAAAGAGAATTCAGTAATGATTAACCCAATAATTCAAGTTGAATGATGAATTCTTAGCAGTTGTCACATTCTTAAATTAGAAACATTTGGTGCAACTAATTTCTTATAGTATTATTCATGGTTCTTCTCTCTTTTGCTGTAGCTGAAGCAAGCAACCCAAGGCCAGCTCCAGCTCCAGCTCTCCCCAAACATTTTCCCACCAGATAAGATTTTATAAATAAATAAATAATATATAGATCTTATCTTTTTTTTTTTTGGTGAACTATAGATCTTATCTTTACTTGCTTCAAATGGAGGTAAAGTATTTTCACTTTTAATTTTCCCGGAAAACTTTAAATTTTCTACCAATTATTTTCTTTGGAAACAAACAAAAGGATGCAAGTTCCCATCAGGCATGGTGTGTGCAACTTGTTTGTTGGTATTCCCTTTTCATTTCTTGGTGCTCAGCTCCCATTCTTGTTGTCACTTTCTAATCTCATCTAATCACCTTTTTAGGAAGCTTCTTGTTTAGCCATTGCTAATTAATGAACTAAACTCCTTCTCTCTCTCTCTCTCTCTCTCTCTCTCTCTCTCCAAAGTTTTTATTTTATTTTTTATTTTCATGAAATCCTTGTAAAGATATATACCAAACGTGTTTTTATGTAATCTGAAAAGAAAAAGAAGATCATTTCAAGGTGATATAGGTGCTATCGGGATGATCAACTTTTTTTTCATTACATTATATGCTGCTGGCTTTCTTTACCAAATGGAATAAAGTCCTAAATTCTTTGTCTATATTTTGATGCTCATAGCTTGCCTTTCTAATTAGTAATTAGGTAACATGTGAGATGTCGGTTGATATTAATCAGATTTTAAATGTCATGCAGGTGGTGGCCTAATGATCCATATTAAGAAGGAATTTTTCTTTAAATAAATGCTTTTTTTTAAGAACATTTCCTATTGAGAGAGGCGATAATATATTAAATTCACACATACTACACGAATACTAGGACTCGAATCCAGGATCTTGCGTGAGGAAGCAATTACTCCAAACAACTACACTAGTGGGTCCTTTGGAAATAAGTGATATCCTAAATACTCTGAATTAGTTTATTCTACATGAAAAGGGACTCGAATTTGAGTGCAAGAGGCAAGTTCACTGCCTTGACCAATTGGAGGTGTAAAACATTCAAATCTAATCAGCCAAAAGAACACAAATTGAACAAAATACTAGCTTTCTCTCTCTTTCTTCTCATTTTCATATAAGAACCTCAAATTCTATTTCATTTTTCTAATTGCTTATGATTTCTTTCTTTTTTTTCTTATCCGGTGACATGTTTTTTTTTTTGTAGGTTTCTCAATAAAAACTAATAATTTCTGTGCAAGTGCCGTTTGGCTTGTTTCAATTCAATGAATGCATTTTCTGGAGCAAGGGGCCTCTGAAGTTATAAGCTCCACGCTCCACTTGGTTTAATTCCAAAATATCATGTGCACACAATGAGTGCTCAATATTCCGAACGTAGGAGAAAAAATGTTAAATGCTTTTACCATTTACGCAATTTTAAATGTTTGGTATAAAGTCAGTTTAACATGATATCCGTAAAGCATTTACAGAAACAAATTCCTGATTCTCTTTTTCAACTTACTCATAGGGAAGTAAATGGTGTTGCACACCGACTTGCTTGATTTGGTCTGTATAATGTGGACAACTTTATTTGGTTTGAGGTGCCCCTGATTTTATTAAGGACACCCAATTATGTGATTCTTTGAGTCTGAATCAGACGTTTTGTCCATCTATTGTAATTCTTTGTTTTATCAATAAAAATTTCCTTGTTCCGTCAAGATTCCAAAAAAAACAAAGATGACATGCGTAAATGGTGAATGCATTTAACATTCTTTTCACCTACATAAAGTAACATTATTAAATGTTTGGTACAATTCAGGTGAAAAAATTGACAACGGAACAATAAAAAAACCCAATGTTATCTCCAACATTATAAAGATATAAAATGTCGTTATAATTGCTGCGGACCAAATTTGCATGTGTATTTACCATTATTGCCAAAATATATTTGAGTTGTTCACCAAAAGAAAAATAATATAACTAATAAGTGTGGAATTGATCAACTATAGATATACTTTTTCTTTGGTGAGAAACAAATAGTTATATAAGTCCTCAAGCAATTTATGTATATAAATCCCCCTAATCTTGTCTTATATTGTTGCCAAGTGTTCATTGTTTTATGTGAATGCCAACTCGAACAAAACACTAATGCTTGGGCGGCTCCAAACTCCAACACAACTGGTTGACCACAGAACCTGTGTACCAGTCAAGATCCTCCAAGTTTGGAGTTCTATGGTGTCCCATATACTTGGATTTACTTATATTATATGGTCGCCTGCACCATGAGCTCAACAAATATGAGTTGCATCAAAATACGCTAATATAACATATTTTAAAATTAGCAAATGATCCACTAACATAGCTGTTTGGAGCAATTGCTCTCCAGGAAAGGTCAAGGTTCGAGTCCTAATATCAGTGTAATGTGTGTGAGTTTAGTATGCTATTGCTCATCTTACTTTAAAAAAATATTAAAAATAAAACATAAGAGTTGCGTAGGATTAAAGTTAGCGGTATTTTAAGGAAATTGGTGGTTACGTAGGAGGTAGGTTCAACAATATTATTTTTATTTTTATTTTATTTTGTAAGGGTTGGAAAATTTGGTGGCTATAGTGAGCATTTAGCAGTGCGAGAGTGTGCGGAGAGGCTAGTATATAAGAATATAAATCCATTTACATATATTTTTTCATTTATATGTAAAAGAAATAAATTACCAAAAAGCATATGTGAAAAAGAAATAAATTATAAGTTAAAAGATTTTTCAAAAAGGAAAAATAACTAAAAATATATTTCACAAAAATAAGGTGACGTGTCGCTATCATGTTTTCCATATAACTACTAAATCAGCTTGTTTAATAGCCGTGTTATTATCTATGAACCCATTATAGACCCGACATGACGAAACTTGACATGCACATATAATGTCATTTTATTTTGTTGTTGTCATGTCGACTGCAACATGGTCCAAATCTAATTTTATTAATGTTTATGTTCGCAATATGGTCCAAATCCAAATCCATTTGGATTGGAAATTTGGCTTGGATCAGTTTGAGCTGGATTTGATAGTTTAGATATTTTTGGGTTGCTTGGGCTTTTTTGAACTTCAAACGTTATAACTCAATTCAACATCAATCCAATTCTCATTCAACGCCATAATCCAATATAACGTAACTATGTATTTTTATAACTCAAACGTAAAAATAAAAATACTCAAACGTAACTCTGATGTTAGTGTGCGTGAGAAATCTCTCTCTCTGTGTAGTTTAGACTATAGCTTGTATTAATTTTATTTTTTTAAATAATAATAATAACTTAAATATAATTCCAATGTTAAGAGCATTTCCAGTGGTGAGCTTAGCTAGGCAGAAGGCCCCATAGGCTCCCAAAACCCTTTTCAACGATGAAATCCAACCCTGGCAAGAGTTGGGGTCCACCAAGTCCGGGCGAGCCTAAAGGTAAGACTTGCCTGGGTAAGCTAACCTCATGCTAACGTTAGTGTGACGTCAACAGCCAATTTAAATACTAAAAAAATTTGAAAAAATCATGCTAACGTTAGTGTGACGTCAACAGCCAATTTAAATACTAAAAAAATTTGAAAAAAATTCCATTTTTCTATAAATACCTAGCAAAACTCCATACAAATTCCTCTCCTCATATCTCATATGAATAATGGTTGCTCTTAGGTTGCCATTAAAATGGGTGGGAATGCATAAAAAAAAATTGCTAGGACAGACACTATTCACATAAACAGTGATTGCCCCTTGCCTTTCCTTGCCTTTTGCCATGGCCCATGGCAAATGGATGTAAGTGCTTTAAAAGCCAATGGGGTCTAGTTAAGTGGAAAATGGTCTTGAATTGCAGACAAGAGGTCTAAGGTTCAAACCCCCATGACATCATAATTGTGTGTGTGTGTGAGAAATCTCCCTCCCATGTAATTTAGACTATCACTTGTACTAAAATATAAAAAAAAAACTCAAACATAACTACGATGTTAAAAAAACACAAAATTTTTAAACCAACAGCAAAACATAGTGCAAAACATGTGATACTTGACATTTTCTACCCACAAAAAAAAAAAAAAAGTTGGATTAAAAAAACTGACAACTAATCTAATTAGATTAATCTTCATACTTAACGTTGTCTGGCGAGCAATCCAGAAAATAAAAAAGGAACGACACTTGGGAGGTTCGAACTCGGGATGATGAGGATATAACATGTAATTGTGTGAAACAAATAAGGGCAATATGGGCAATTTGAAATTTTCATTTAAACCTCCGCATGCTTCTCCTCGCAGCAGTTTTCAGAAGCAGCTCCCCACCTGCTTCTGTTTTTCAGCTTTGAATGACAGCAACTTATTAAATAAGCAGCTTATTTTTGTTTTACCAAACACCCAAATCTCCAGAACTTTTTTTTTAAGCTGCTTATTTTTTAAGTTAAGCAATACTGTCGTCAAACTTAAACTTATCTTTATTGTTTGTGATTCTCTAACTTTAGCGTCGTTCACTATGTGTGAGCTTCTTGATACGACAATAGCTCATAGTCGTCTAAATTAATATGGAAAATGGCGAAAAACAAAATGGAGATGCGGGGTATCGATCCCCGTACCTCTCGCATGCTAAGCGAGCGCTCTACCATCTGAGCTACATCCCCTTTGCTTTCTCATTCTTCTTTGTAGCTTATATATCATGCATTTGTATGAAAGTACATCATAACACACCCTATGTTACAACAAGTATGTCAAAATAAACAAGTCATCACTAGCAGTATATTTTGGTTGAACTTACGCTGCTTCCTTATCTTTCATGGTCAGATGATTAATATCACAATCCAAGGGGTTGATCTTGTGGATTTTGATTTCCAAAAGTAGGTCATTAGTCACAGAGGCCTCTATTCTTCTCCCATCTGCATCTTGTGGGAGCTCAAGCTTCCTAACGTACCCATGTTCCCACCAATTCCCACTTCTCCAATCTTTTGTGCTCTTGGAATCTCCTCCTTGCTGCTTCCACTGCCCACTAATTTCCACAACCTTCCCATTTTCTTCATAGACCTGAACATTGTTTTTCCCATCTCCTGTTTCACCAAATCAAAAATACTGTTCTGTTTCATTGCACTCTTGAATTTTTAGTTTCTAGTTCAAAACTCTTCATATGTATATATATAAACCATTTTATAAATAAGCCTCTTGGGCTAGTTAGGTGGTGAGGGGACAAGGAAACTGATTTGGACTAAGATGAAGTTATGATTTTTTATCCCATCTGATGCATCAGATATTAGAAAGACCCATTTTGCTAACGGGGTCTAGCTCAGTGGAAAAGGGCCTTGACTTGTAGATAAGAGGTCTTAGGTTCGAATTCTCATTCCCCTCTCCTCTAGTTTAGACTATTGCTTGTACTTAAAAAAAAACCCATTTAGAGCCCAATATTAAATGTTCAATTACCAAAAGCAACAAAACCCAACATAAATGTTTGATAAAAAGGTCTCCTTTCCTTGTCTCTCAAAACTCAAAAGATTTACTTGTGAATTAAGGAATAATACCACCTATATTTCTTAGGTTTGTATATTGCAACCTGCCAAAATAATATACACAATTCAACTACGCAGTCTCCTTGGTTCATGATGATTTGAATCACTAAGATATATATTAGAAGTATTTGGAAATCTTACCTGGTAGATCTGCTTTTAGTACATAATCTTGATCTGTTTGAAACCAGTCAACAGTACTGCTTTGACCAGAGCTTCTGAGACCAGCCAACAAGATATCTGCATCAAACTCCCACAGTGGGAAGGCATCAGAAGGATCAAAAAATTTCCCAAACAAGAAGGGACTGAACAATGACCCTCCACCAAAAACCTTGTGCACTGCTGGACTGCCTTGAGACATGAACTTCTTGAACACATCTTCTCTCAATAAAACACACCATTTGTGTGGAGTTTGATCATCTGTTAGAACTTCAAGCTGCTTGCGAGTAGTAGTCATTGAATTGAAGATTAGAGAAACTGAACTTTTGAATGTGTGGTGGAGATGTGCTTGAAGCTTGTTGGTTCTTATAGTGTGGGAGAAGCACTTTTGAGAAAAGTAGAGCACAAATTCCCTCAGAATACTTGAAGGGCTGTAAAGCTAATTGGAATATTTCTTTTTCTTGATCCTTGCTCACTGGTGACAAGAAATTACATGTGGCAAAATGGAAGAGGTAATTGACAAAAGGTCCATTCAACCTTGAAACTCATGTATTGATTGTTGCTTGTGCAGAACATATTGAAAACTGACCATCAGGCTTGCTGTTCACAGGAAAAAATAAATTCATCAGCACATGACATCCTTGAAGAAAAAAAACTCAATGAATCTGATCCATGGAAGAATCTTCATAGGGCATGAAGGGTTGAGTGGTGGTCAAGACATACCATATTTAAACTAGCTCAATCAGACACTTCCTTTTCAGGTCAGTTCATTTGAAGCAAGAGTAATTTTTCTGGAAAAGCACTTCTTTGATCAATGATGCAGTTTTGGTGCAATTAACCTTTTTCTATGCTGTCAAAGTACAGTAGTGAATTTGTGCTTTTGCTTTTGAGATAAATTTTTATATATTCACAAAAGGCTGTGTGAAAGGAATATTTGTCACATACTTACATGTGTTTCTCTTGTCATGTTGCCACTACTCCCCATACTATGCAGAGTCTTTTTATATATTTCTTTTCAATTATGGCATGAAGTTTTTGACTACTTATTACAATGAAGGGAGCCTCTTCTCTTGTCATGTTGCCCCTACTCCCCATACTATGCAGAGTCTTTTTATATATTTCTTTTCAATTATGGCATGAAGTTTTTGACTACTTATTACAATGAAGCTTTTGTGCAGTGCAGGCTACAGCAAATGGTATTGGCATCTGGCAGACCTACTTTTTCCTAAAGCAGGATTAGTATCTTCATGATTGATGCTGAATTTCCAACCAGTGAAAATTCTGGAGGGACTTTGGATAGTGGGGCACAGCCAGAAAAGGGCAGCTTTTGTAATGAAAAAAATTGAAAATATATAGCTGCAGTTATCTTCAAAGTATGTGCTGCCGATGCTAGAATAAGTGACCTAGTAATTGTGGTTCATCCCACCTAGGATAAGGCAATTACTGTCTTCTTGGAACATAAAATTCAGCAAGTGGAACAAAGTAATTTATCTGTTGAATCATTTTAATAGTTAGAAATGAAAAATGAAGTAAATAAATCACTTAATAACAAGAGAAATGCTAATCATGGTCGCTGAAAATGACTTTGGCGAGACTCTCGCTTAAGTGTGACATTACAGCATGCTCTTCTTTTGTTTCCTGAAAGAAGAAGAAGAAGAAAGATAGAAAGAAAATTGTAAACATGCATATATAAAATACGAAGAAGAAAAATAGAAGAAGGAATATGGAATTCGGCAGCCTAACTTAAAGAATTGGCAACAAGTTAAATTGAAAGAAAGGGTCAATGACTCAATCTTCTTGGCCTTCTCGACAGTTATTCACAACACGTTGTCCAAACTTTTGGTCATGCTTCAGATTCAGAACAACGACACATTCCATTTCTTTTTTCTTTCACAAAATTGTAAATAAATATAATTTGAAGCAACAAAGAAAGTGGTGACAAACAACTCTCATGGTAACTAATCAAATCACACTTTTCTTGCTCTCCTCTGTCCTATTTGCTCAAAGAGCTGCACTACTAAAAAATTGTCCCAGCACACACGCATCATTGATCAAGAATACTCAGTGGTGGTCCTAAGGTTTTGGAGGCCCTAGTCGAACTATCAAAATTTGTTCTTTTAGTCTCTATGTATATTTATGTGATTTTTTTTCGATAAGTTAAAAAAAATTATATGAACTCAAAGTATACCAAGTGGTGGTCCCTTATTAAGTTATTAAACTAGACTAGGTTATTCAACTAGATTAACTTATTAAACAGTTTAACTTAAAAAATAATAATAATAATTGGTCCCTTATTTAGTCTCCATTTGTTAGTTTTAGACAAAATAATTGGGATTTTTTTAAATAGTACTTGGGCTTAATATAATATTAATATAGTATAATTTTTTAAGTAATATACATATGTATATATGTTTATAAAAGTTAGGGGCGTTTTCAATTTGGAGGCCTTAGACGATCGCCTTGTCCGCCTATGCTCAAGGCCTCCCCTGAAAATACCCTACATACATCAACGATTAAAAATATATACACATCAACAGTAAAGAATGTTCTACAAACATCAACGGTAAAAAATGTTCCACATGCATCAAGAATCAGATGACCTAGCTAGCATTATTCTTCCCCAAAACGTACTGTAAAAGTCTATTCTCTCCTACAATGAAGACAACGTCGGTGACTTAGACAACTGAGTGATGAAAAGAAAGATGAAGACCAAATGCGCGTAGGTGATTGGATAGCGCAACAAGAACGGAAAAGAAAGGTTTGGTTATTAAGGTTATTTTGTCTTTGAGATACATTTCTGATCCTCTTATATTATCGTAGTTAGATTTCAAGTTTTTGTTTTTTAAATAATTGTTATTTGCATTTAAAAATTGCATCTTACACTCTTCCTCAGGCTTAGTGTGCATGTATGAGCATTGACGGACCTAGGAGTTTTTCAATGGAGGTGCAAATTTTAAAGGCACAAGACTTGATCGATGAATAAATTTGTATAAAGATTTGGAATTCTCTAAACCAAAAAAGAAAAAAAAAACTTGGTGTGGTGGGGACATAAAAAAAAAAAGACTTTTTATATTTATTTTTTATTTATTTATTTAGCTAAGATGTTTTGTAAAGAGTTGGATGGAGTTCTCTCTAAAAAAAAAAAAGAAACCTTGCGATTGGAATTTGGGTCGTTGGGTTTTGCGATTGGAACTTGGATGTTTGGTATTAAATTATTAATAATAGTATGTAATACTAATTATGACAAAGTGCAAGTCTGAGGGCACTTTGGTAGCCGGTTCCGTGGAATTAGGCTTCATTTTTTGAACGACATCGTTTTGGCTAGGGAATTTAAAAAAAATATATGAGCGTTGTGCTACGCCCAACCTAGCAACACATCAAACAAAAGGAGTTTCGTTGAGGCATTTCCTCGAGCAGTTTGTGGGCACTTCCATAGTAAAGCAGAGGTGCAGATTCCGCCAACGCCAAAGCGTTTTCCGACGAGTGAAGGTATGTGTACCTCCTTGTGCCTCTATGAGTCTACCACTGTGTATGTGTTGTGACGATTCAGCTGCATCAAAATGGATTCAGCTGCATCTTCAACTTGTGATACTCGCAAGTGCACGAGCTGTTCGGTAGTATAACATATGTAAGTGCGAGGTCGATTCCATAGGGATTGGTGATTGAATAATCCAATTCAGTTTTCTTACACAAAACAGAAAAACAAGAAAGAATATAAATAAAACAAGAAAGAAAGAAAAGAAAATAACTCAAGCAGATAAGTTCCCAAGTTCAATTAGATTAACGGATTGATTCTAGCTAAAGTATGATTAAGCCATGGTGTGTGGTCATAACCTTGTGTTCCTAATTCCCTAATTTGATCATTTGTTGTCTAAGCTAAAATTAAGCATTAGGAACCCATTAAGCATAGAAGAACATTTTAAACAACCAAGTATGTATCTAATCCCTGTTGTCGAATGTCCATACATACTCTTCCTATTCATAGTTCAATTCGAATTAAAGCATGGTGTATACTCTTAATTCAAACCAAGATAGGGAGAATTTCAGCACAAAGATTTCATTACAACAATTGAAAACTAGAAAGAGAAACTAAGAGAATTTGAGGGAGAGAAAAGAGGGGAGCTCTAGAGAAGTGTTTGAGAGCTCCCCCCCTTTGGGGTGTGTTTTGAAGCTTGAAGACTTCTCTATTTATAGGGCTAAGAGGGAGGAACATCATGATGAAATCCAACACCACCATTCCTCCTTTAATACAACCCATAACTCCCACCTCATCTTGTCTATGTTAGTGTGGTTGGAATCAATTCCATCCCATACTTCTTTTGCTCAACTCCATCCCATACTTCTTTTGCTGCACCTCAAGCTTTCTTCACATGGGATTTCAAAGGTGTTCAATTGTAGCTACCTTTTGCTGCCAACCCATGTGGGTTTTCTTTTGATTGCTGGAAAAAAAGATTCTTCTGAATTAGGCTTGGTGTAGGAAGGCCTGAGGTTTCAATATGTATCCAATGGGGCTCAAATTTGGATATGTCATAATAGACACCCATTGGAACAACCTTTATGAAGAATATATTCCAATCTGAGTAGTACAAGTGTTTGGGCCTTGCAAGTTGACTGCCAAAAATAGACTGGAATTGACTTCATTGCAGTCAGCTTGTGGGCTTGTTTTGGGCTTGATATTCCCTCCTCCAAAATCTGGAAAAATCTGGATCTTGAAGCTCTTTGAATTATATTTCCAAGCATATGCAGCCCAGCTCAAGGAAAAATCAAAAATCTGGAAAAATCTGGATCTTGAAGCTCTTTGAATTATCTTTCCAAGCATATGCAGCCCAGCTCAAGGAAAAATCGGAAAGCCCTTCAAATGTGATATTTGCCCCAGTAACGCAGATGCTGCAGAATTTGACCTTAAGTTGCCAAAACTTGTATAACTTTCTCTAGAACACTCGGAATCATAAACCGTAAAATTCTCCAGAAACTAGACTTCCGCATCTTTCCAATTATGTATGGCTCGTTATCTGGTTCTTCTTGAGCAAGTACAGTCCAATTCATGAAGTTGACTGATCTACAGACACCGATGAGCCAACTTGTCTCCAAAATGCATTTAATGAGTCTCAAGCTTATTACACTGAAACAAACACAAAACTTATTAAAAGCACAAGTTTAACTCAAAAACATAACCAAATCATAAGTTAGAAGGATACAAAATGACATGTAATTATGCACCGATAGTGCAAGAAATCATATTTATAGTGCACATTTCATTTTCCTTTTAAATATTTACTACATTTGTATTAGTACATTATTGAAACTTGATTATTTTCTCTGGAAAGATATATTATTAGCCTAAGTAATAGTTAGTTTAGGTGCAGCTCCCCGATGGAGTACGCCTATATCGCGGATCGACTTCAGGGTCTTACCATCTTTTTCTTTTCAACTTTTCGCTTCAGTGGAGGGATCGGAGTCTGGTCATATCGACCTGAGTTTTTTTCAAATTTAAATTGGTCAATTGGGCACATAACATCTTTGGTTCTTAGGAAACACCCATTTGCTCTTTAGGAAATACCTTGGTCTCCTTTACAAACAAAACGAACAGTTGCTTACAGATAAATATATGGCTTGGCTTGAGAAGCTTGTGGCATGGAAGCTAAGCATTCATGAGTTTAGCATCAAAGAGAGAGAGGGCTTGGATTTCCTATGAGAAACAGGGGTTCAAAGTAAGGGGAGAAGAAATTTCGAGAGAATTTGTTGAGGTGAGAGAGAGGAAGAGATGAGGGAGGAGAAATGGGTGGTTTGAGCAATTTTCCGGCAGCTTGACGAAAGCTTTGTCAGGCTCTGGAATGGCTTGCCAGAAGAGAAAATGGGAAAAGATGGAGGAATAGGGTTCGAAATTGAAGGGTTCCAGGGATGAGAGGTGATGCTTGCTCTCTCTGGATGTGGTTGTCTTAATGGGTAAGAAATGCCCCCTTTTATAGGCGCTGAAAGCTCTTTCTTCCCAAGAAACACTAGTTGGTTCTTCCTAAATCTGCCAATTCTCCCCCTTCATTTCTCTTATCTTCCTTTGATTTATCCTCATTTTGTGAAATCTTTTTCAGTCCAAACACACAGAGACAAGATTTTTGGAGGCTCTAGAGCCTTCTCGCAGCTGTCCCTACGACCATCTCCTATTTTGGGCTTCCATTTCTCCTTCTTTTCTCCTTCATTTTATGGCAAGAGTTGGTGAAAGAAAGGAGTGGGTAATGGTGTTGGTCTAAAGGGTGTTTTGCTCAAGTATCCTTTGGTTTTTCGAATGGCCTGTGTTGGGTTTGTCTTTGGCTATGTGCTGGAGACTCCTAGTAGCCTACACACGCAAATACTTTTTGGTTCTCTAGGTGGTCTATCGTGGTTTTGTCTCTGGCCATGTGATGGAGACTTCCAGATATTTTCTAAGTTACTTGGGCCATTCCCTAAGGTGAACTAAGGGGATGGGGCAGCCTTCCAAAGTCATGGACTATTTTTACTAAGGTAATTGGCTACATTTTTCTTTCTTTCATGCTTACCCACATATTTGGGCTCAAGAAATGGGCTCGAGTTTTGGGGCTCCCAAGCAGCCCAAAACTTCCACTTCTTAGCCTATCAATGGGCCTTGTGAATGCTCATAACCATCTATACCACAACCCACTCAGCAAGCCCCCTGCATTTGCGTGGCTTGGGCCCACTTAAGGTTGTAGCGCGGCTAGGTGCAAAATAAGGGTTTTCCGCTTGGCATTGCATGTCGATTGGTGTGCTCGAATTTTATCGTTTTGTAAAGGGCTATGACGCTTGACGGGATAATTAGCATGGGTTCACAGAGCCAGTGCATTTTATAGGCTTGTTTCAACTCTTAGCGTGACGGATTACACATTTGTTTGGCGTGGCACGTGGATCTTGACTCGTGCGAGCGTGTATGACGGACTTTCACGTGCCCAAATCGAGTCTCTTCTCAATAAGACATCGAATTGGTTGGAAATTTATTTGGACCTATCCCTAGATTTTTTGGGCCTCAACAAAGATGATTTTCATTTAGTCACAAAGAGTGTTTTAATTTTCTTTGTACACGAAAAAGAAAAAAGAAAAAAGAATTGTTTTATGAAATAAAATTAGCATGTTACCGTTGTAGTGTAATTTAGTGGATAAAACAATGATTAGCCAACATCTCACATCTGTTTTGTGTTGCAAATATTCCATTAGGACACAAACAACATACTGGGTACAAGTGGGAGTTTTAAAAAATAATAATAATACGAGATTAAATCTTTTTTTTTTTTAAAGAGGAAAATGCAGGTGATTTGGTTCAATATTTTGGCAGCTTTGGGGAAGAAAACTTCTGGGTTTTCTTAAATTCTTTCTGTTGTATTCAGAGTTCAACTTCTCATCAGAAAAACTTTCGTGGGTATGTGAAGATTTTCTTATATATGGTGGAAATTGGGATATAATAGGTGTCTTCTTAAGGAAAATTGAATTGGGTTGGTGCCAAATCGTGAAGGTTAGAAGCTTTTGTGTGGTTTTGCGTGATGATGCTGTTCTAGGGTTTTGGTTATGAGAGGTTTAGGCATTGATGAAATGAGAAGGATATTAAACGTTTGGAATGACAATTCAACAACAAATCGGTCTTATGAGGACAAGCCGTTTCATTGTTTTGGTTATTCTGCTATGTGCTTCAACATCAATAAGCTCAGAGGAGAGGAAAATCACAGAGGAAGTGTTTCTCAGTCAACTTGTTGATCCAGCAACTGGAAAGATTGATGGAGACATGGTAAGAGACTATATAACATCTTTTTGTTTCAGTAAGATAACTTATCATATGAGTGTGGTATATCTTATATGATAAATTTGTTCATATTAATGTTATTCGTTTTAAATTTGTATCAACACCATATCATATATAGGGATTTCTGTAGTACGCCTCTCTGCTCTTATTTCAATAGCATCATATCATATATCTGGACCGAACAGTAGATCCGAAAATTAGTTAAATAATCTAAAGCTTTTTAGTTCGTGGAAGTATGTTTGGAGCTTATGAAGTATTTAAGGCACAAAGCTATTTTCTTGTACTGAAATAGATTTTGATTTTGTTAATTTTACTAAAATGTTTGTGCATAACTTATTTGAAAACCAGAAGTAGTATTTGACAAAGCGATATCTTGATAATTCTAACAAAGTTGTATATCTATTGAAGATAAAAGAAGGCCAAAACAGAATTGAAAAAACTTGTATGAGAAATGATATTTTGATGTATTTGAGCTTTCACTTTTCACCAATGAAGTTTCTTATTCTTCATTAACTCTGTTATATGCTTGTTTTTGCAAAAGTAGACATTAAAATTTGTAAATTCTGTGGGCTGCAGGCACAGCTGTTATGGATAAGTTGCAAGGTGGATTTGGCCCATTTGACGGAAGCTATTGAACATCTTCACTTATGGTTAGAAGAGGAAACATCTGGTGGCACAGATGAAATTAGTTCAAAAAGACTGTCATCGGGAAAAGAAAGATTTCAGAAGCTTATTAGTGTCCTGCATCCTGAGGTGAAACGAACTCTTTCAGATTGTTTAAGAAAGCATGGTCTCTTATCCCGTGTTTCTGGAGAAGAGGGTGCCTCGAAGATATGGTATACCAAGTATTTTGAGTCCCTATTTCCCAGACCTTATGTTCCAAGAAGGAATTTGGGCAGTGAATTGCTTCAGAGCTCTGCTGACGGACCTTCTCCAGCCCCTGCAGCAGGATCTCCTCAACTCAGTCCAGTACCATCCGCTGCTCCAACACCTTCCATTTCTCAAACTTCTAGGTCTAGGCGCCCTGCTGCACCATTTTTTCCTTCCAATTCCAATAATTCGACTGTGCAAGCTTCAGAGCCAGATGCCAGTTTAAATGTACAGGAAGATAAAGGACGGAATGATCGTAAAAAAATTGTCATTGCTGTTGTTGTTACTGCATCAGTGACTCTTGTTGTTGCAGCAGTGCTCTTTTTATGCTTTACTAAAATCTGTAGGACTAGGAAAAAAGATGGACAAAATGATGAGAGGCCCCTCCTTAGCCTGAGTTTAACTGATTCTAGTGGTATAGTTCTCTAATATCTTGTTTCTGTTATCTTTAGTTGTTTGAACCATTTCAATTCTATATATCTCTGAAAGTTTTGATGTTTCAGGTTCTTCGTACAAGTCTTACGTTTTGGGAAATTCAATGAAAGAAGAGAAGCTTGACCATCAATCATTGGGTAATAACTCAAGTCATCACAGAAAGGCCTAATATTTAAATAGTAATTTTCACATTGAGTCTGATGTTTTTAAATACTTCACTAAATTAAACTGCAGAATTAGGATCCACTGGAGGAGCTTCCAAATTTGATACATCCAGCAACATCAATGGACTGGTACCACCTCCTCCTGGAAGGCCTCCTACTGGACTGCCTACTCTAAAGCCCCCTCCTGGCAGAGCAAATCCTCTCCCTCCTGAACCGCCTTCTTCTTTTAAGCCTCCGCCCAGCAGGAATGGTCCTCCTCCTCCTCCGCCTCCTGTGCCACCTCCCACTTTGAAACCCTCGGGCAGTGCAGGCCCTCCCCCACCACCTCCAGCACCTCCTGGCCCTCGCCCCCCACCCCCTCCAAAGATTGGTGTTCCTCCTCCTCGGCAACCTCAATCGATGCCTATTGGTTCAAAGGTAGCTCGACCTCCTCCTCTTGCACCAAAACGTCCATCAAATGCTGCTTCTGGTGAGGTAGGTGGATCTGATGCTGAAGGTGATGCTCCTAAAACCAAGCTGAAGCCCTTTTTTTGGGATAAGGTTCTAGCAAACCCTGATCATTCAATGGTTTGGCATCAGATTAAATCAGGATCTTTCCAGTAAGTTGCAGTTTTCTTCCTTTTCTTCTTTGTGATCCATGAATCATTAGATATTATAAGCCTCTGAATAGTAATACAATGATGATTCTTATACAGGTTCGATGAAAATATGATTGAAACTCTGTTTGGGTATAATGCTGCTGAGAAAAACAAAAATGAACGCAAGAAAGAATCTACATCCCAAGATCCTTCACCCCATTTCATTCAAATTATTAATCCCAAAAAGGCACAAAATCTATCAATTCTTTTGCGGGCACTGAATGTCACCGTAGAAGAAGTCTGTGATGCAATTCGTGAAGGTAACTTATCTCCTTCTTTCTATCCATGGCGTTGAAAAGATGCAAGTATTTTTCCTTTCCTCTTTTTTCTGTGTGTCAAAATGGAAATGTATTAGAAAAAGGGATATATGGTGTACTTTCTTTATTTTTCTAGAAGGAAACTTGTATGTAGTCCTTTTATGAAGTTTGAGGACTTAGGTAAGTTCAAGTGGCAGAGGCACCTAGTGCTTGTGCTTAGGATTTTATAACCAATGTCCCTACCAACAATTAAATTGGACTCTGAACTGTCAATTGCATCATTATGCCTCCCAAACTCAGGTACCGTGCATCAATGTATCCCTTGATGTCTGATCCATTGGTTTTTCTGTTGAAAGTGGCATACTTTCAGGGGTAGAATGGTGCATTAGACCATAAATTATAGATTAAAAAGCATTTTCTCTCTCCTCCTCTGTCACCCTTTTTCTCTATTCTCTTTCTCCTTTCGCGCTCACACACAAATCAACAAGTATTCTAATATACTAAGCACAACAATAAAACTGAATGAAGTTAATCACGTTATCAAAATACTGCAGAAACTAGATAAACTACCAAACCACTAAAACTCAAAAGTACTGTGTTGAAACCCATAAGTGAAAAATACCCCTAAAATTTAGTCATGTGCTTTCCATGTGATCAATTTGGACAGAAGCTGAAGGATCAGATGTCGGGGCCTCATTGGTGCATGGTACCAGAGTTTGAGGGTCACATTGATGCAATTGAAAGTTCAGGAACCACTTTGATTATGGGGCAATATTTCAGGGGTATTGATGATTTTAAAAAAATGTCTTGTAATTGTTCTAAACTTCTAATTAAACTGTGTTTCTCAAAAAACCTAGTAATTACTTTGGAACTTTTTCTGAAAATTCTTGAGTGAACATCTTGTCGGAGTAATAGAATAACGTATAAAGAAAGCTGAAATAAAAGATGATCCAGTGCATGTGTTTTTTTTTCCTTGCATGAGAAGCATATTGTAACCTTTCTTAGTTGAATCAGGAAATGAGCTTCCCTCAGAATTCCTACAAACTTTGCTGAAGATGGCACCAACACAAGAAGAAGAACTAAAGCTTAGACTGTTCAATGGTCAACTTTCTCAACTTGGGCCTGCTGAGCGGTTCCTAAAAGCCTTGATTGTGATTCCATTTGCTTTTAAGCGATTGGAAGCATTACTTTTTATGTGCACTCTTCAGGAGGAGGTCACCACCCTTAAAGAGTCCTTCGCAACCTTAGAGGTAAAGACTCAGTTTCTGAATTGCATGCCATGTATGATTTTGAGTCTCATACTCTTCTACCCAGTTTTTTGGGTATCTCAGGTTAACTTCTATTAGTTCAGCAAGTATTGAAAAGACCAATGTAGCGACCTGAATTATGCTTATACAACTATTATAAACATATAACTTGTTGCATATATATGCTAAGCTAGCATCCAATGCTGGTATCCTACGCAAGACAGTGCTTTTCAGCTGTGTAAATCATCATCAGATGATGAAGAATACACAGCACAAACATGAACCCATAAAGAGCCAAATGCCAATGCACAAAGGGAAAATGTACAGTTGAAATAGCATGAATAGAGTTTGATGCAACCAGGGTAAGTTCAAGTGGCAGATGCACCTAGTGCTTGTGCTTAGGATTTTATAACCAATGTCCCTACCAACAATCAAATTGGACTCTGAACTGTCAATTGCATCAATATGCCTCCCAAACTCAGGTACCGTGCATCAATGTATCCCTTGATGTCTGATCCATTGGTTTTTCTGTTGAAAGTGGCATACTTTCAGGGGTAGAATGGTGCATTAGACCATAAATTATAGATTAAAAAGCATTTTCTCTCTCCTCCTCTGTCACCCTTTTTCTCTATTCTCTTTCTCCTTTCGCGCTCACACACAAATCAACAAGTATTCTAATATACTAAGCACAACAATAAAACTGAATGAAGTTAATCACGTTATCAAAATACTGCAGAAACTAGATAAACTACCAAACCACTAAAACTCAAAAGTACTGTGTTGAAACCCATAAGTGAAAAATACCCCTAAAATTTAGTCATGTGCTTTCCATGTGATCAATTTGGACAGAAGCTGAAGGATCAGATGTCGGGGCCTCATTGGTGCATGGTACCAGAGTTTGAGGGTCACATTGATGCAATTGAAAGTTCAGGAACCACTTTGATTATGGGGCAATATTTCAGGGGTATTGATGATTTTAAAAAAATGTCTTGTAATTGTTCTAAACTTCTAATTAAACTGTGTTTCTCAAAAAACCTAGTAATTACTTTGGAACTTTTTCTGAAAATTCTTGAGCGAACATCTTGTCGGAGTAATAGAATAACGTATAAAGAAAGCTGAAATAAAAGATGATCCAGTGCATGTGTTTTTTTTTCCTTGCATGAGAAGCATATTGTAACCTTTCTTAGTTGAATCAGGAAATGAGCTTCCCTCAGAATTCCTACAAACTTTGCTGAAGATGGCACCAACACAAGAAGAAGAACTAAAGCTTAGACTGTTCAATGGTCAACTTTCTCAACTTGGGCCTGCTGAGCGGTTCCTAAAAGCCTTGATTGTGATTCCATTTGCTTTTAAGCGATTGGAAGCATTACTTTTTATGTGCACTCTTCAGGAGGAGGTCACCACCCTTAAAGAGTCCTTCGCAACCTTAGAGGTAAAGACTCAGTTTCTGAATTGCATGCCATGTATGATTTTGAGTCTCATACTCTTCTACCCAGTTTTTTGGGTATCTCAGGTTAACTTCTATTAGTTCAGCAAGTATTGAAAAGACCAATGTAGCGACCTGAATTATGCTTATACAACTATTATAAACATATAACTTGGTGCATATATATGCTAAGCTAGCATCCAATGCTGGTATCCTACGCAAGACAGTGCTTTTCAGCTGTGTAAATCATCATCAGATGATGAAGAATACACAGCACAAACATGAACCCATAAAGAGCCAAATGCCAATGCACAGAGGGAAAATGTACAGTTGAAATAGCATGAATAGAGTTTGATGCAACCAGTAAAAAAATGATGCCGTGATGGCAAAGTACAATATGGGGAGTGGTTGGCACTATCCACCTATGTTAAGAACTTCCAGAGTGGCAGCCCATGGTCAGTTTCATTTCTGGCGGCATTTGGACTCCAATTCTTGCATTTTCATCTGTCTACAAGCCTTTAATGATAAATGTCCCATGACTTCTACTCCAACTCTTAGCTGGAATAGTTGAAGAGATTGGAAATTTCGACAATTATTTTGCTCATTATGCTTAGTTTTCAAGTTTTCATCACTTTTGCAGTGACTAGTTTCTTCAAATTTCAATTTTCTAATATTGCTACTGAGATTCACATGTGGACGCAGAGGATAATAGCATAACAAAACTCTCTATTAGATACCTTAAGCTTAGTCTTATCTGGAAAGATGAAGGCTTGTCTGGCCTAGACCATACTGTTCTGTATGGGCCATGAAATATGGTACCTATCTGCATATAGGGGAGACTCATGGAGATAATGTGTCATGAAGAAATATACGAATTTACTTGTACAGCATATATAAAAATGTATGCCAGTTTTCATTCAGATGGCACAGCTTCATGTTGTTCTAAGTTGTAACCTATCATTTTGTTTCTGTGCATGATGTTGTCTGCTGGTAACTTCTGGTCCATATCTCGAAACCTTGCACTCAAGAATATCTAAATCATATCCATGTCTATGGCAGGTTGCTTGTAAGGAACTAAGAAGCAGCCGGCTTTTCCTCAAGCTTTTAGAAGCTGTTCTTAAAACTGGCAATCGCATGAATGATGGAACATTTCGTGGTGGTGCACAAGCATTCAAACTTGACACGCTCTTGAAATTATCAGATGTAAAAGGAATAGATGGCAAGACAACCCTTTTGCACTTTGTTGTTCAGGAAATAATCCGCTCTGAAGGTGTCAGAGCTGCTCGTGCAGCAAAAGAGAGCAGGAGTTTCTCTAGCATCAAATCAGATGATCTCCTTGAGGAAACTTCCCAGGAAACCGAAGAGCACTATCGCAGTCTTGGTCTTCAGAAAGTTTCAGGTTTAAGCAATGAGCTTGAGAATGTCAAAAAAGCGTCTGTTTTGGATGCTGAAAACTTAACAGGAACTGTTACTAAACTTGGTCATGCACTTGTAAAAACCAGAGACTTCCTGAACTCAGAAATGAAAAATTCAGGGGAAGATAGTGAGTTCCATGAAACACTGAAGAGTTTTGTGCAGAATGCTGAGGTTGATATCACAGGTCTCCTCGAGGAAGAAAAGAGAATCATGGCTCTGGTGAAGAGCACTGGTGACTATTTCCATGGGAACGCAGGGAAGGATGAGGGTTTAAGATTGTTTGTTATTGTTCGGGATTTTTTACTAATCATAGATAAGGCATGCAGAGAGGTAAGATTGGCACCAAAAAAGTCAACATATGTTCAAAAAAAGGAAGCACCTTCCTCTGATCCTCCTCGTCAGCCTCCTACAACACCATCTGCCTCCAATCTTCGCCAGCCTCCTTCTCCTGATCTCCATAAGCGGCTTTTCCCTGCAATCCAAGATCGACGAATGGATAATTCTAGCTCAGATGATGAAAGTTAATAGATTCCATTTCGAGAAGGTATTGAAATTTCTAAACCTGGTTGAAGAAAGAATCTCTCTCTCATGTGTTGTATATACTTGTGTAGATCATATATCAATATGTGATACTCGTGGATATTGCCAATGAACTTTGGGCCTAGTGTTACCTCTTCCCCCTTCCCCTTTAAAACAAGGGTAGGGTGATGTCAGAGGTTCAATCCAAGCGGGTGCGTGTGTAATTTACTTAGAGCAAAGAAAGTCAAGGATATTTTGATTTAGTATTTAAGAAATTTTTCTCTTGGCATTTTCTCAGGTGGTCGTCACAGAATCTCAACAACAAAATGCCTGTTCGGTTCTTCTCTAGATGTCATCTGTGGCCAATGATTTCACAGAAGGATTAGTGAAAAAGGAGTTGGAGTTGGCCTATGCCCTCTCTTCAAGGTGGAATTTCACTAGATAAAACCTACAGTCAATTTTGAAGGTCCCTCTGATGATGTTTCACCCCCATTCATGGCTGGCTGTGTGCGTCAATGTCTCCTCGCTAGGGTTTAGGGTTGTACAACGCCAATACCATACAGAATTGTGCCTGCTCGTCCTATTCAAAAGGCGAACATTTCCTTGAGTGGTGGAGTGCCTTCATTGTTATTTGGTGTCCTGTTGAGAATGAAATTATTAGAAAACAATGTTATTACCTTAAAAAACCACAACATGCGCAGGAGCTATTTAGATATAGTGATTCTTTTTTTCTTTCCACCTATTATTCTTTGTTATATTTTTGTTCATAATTTTGACCTTTTTGGAGAAAAGAGGTGTAGCAAGGTAGTTTGAGATCTATAAAATTGTTCATCTTATTGCCAGGAATGAAATTATGATTTATGATTATACTATATGACCTTTAGGAGTAAAGATGTGTAGCTATACTATCTGACCTTTTTCATGTTTAATACACATTTTTTTTTTTACAAAATTCACGTATTATACACATAATTATCACAAATTACTGAATACAAATAATAGATATTAAAATATTATATTGTGGCAGAACTTTAAAGTTGTAATTTGCTAAAATTTTGCCAAAAAAAACACTATGTATTTTATTCGTATAGCCGTGCGGTTATAACAAATTAATATCTATAAAGTATAAACAAATACAACTAGGAGGGTCTTTTTTATATTTGTTTTTATTAAATAGTATAGTCGTGCGACTATACCATTGAAATATAATGTATTTAAATAGTATAGCCCTTCGGCTATACTACGGTTTTTTTAAAAAGAAATAGTACAGCCGTCCGGCTATACGCCTTTTTTTAATTTTTTAAAACGAAATCGTATAGCCGCACGGCTGTACTCATTTTTTAAATTTTTAAAAAAAGAAATCGTACAGCCGCCCGGCTACACTGGTTTTTTCCAATTGTTTAAATAAATAGTATCATGCACGGCTATACCAGGGTTTGTCCAATTTTTTAAAAGAAATAGTATAGCCACACATATATACGCGGTTTTTTTCAATGTTTAAAAAAATATATGTTATAGCCGCCCTGCTATACCAAATTAATATTTCAATAATAATATATCCTTGTTTTGTAACCGTCTTAAGGACTTAGAAAAATTCACGTTTTTAAAGAAATAGTTTAGTTTCGCGGCTATACTATGGTTTTTTACCAAAAATAGTATACTCATATTGAATATGTACGTACAATACTTGGTAAAATTACGTCCTTTACAAAACACAGATGTATTACTGAAATATTAATTTGGTATAGCGGTGTGGCTATACTACTTTTTTTAAAAGGAAAAACAAACCGAGTATAGCCGAGCGGCTATACTATTTGTTTTAAAATGTTTTTAAAAAGGGTTGTGTAGCCGTCCGGCTATACGCTTTCTTTAAAAAAAATTAGGAAACGCCGTCCGGCTATATTATTTTTTTTAAAAGGAAAAAAATCGATTACAGCCGCACGGCGATACTATTTCTTTTTTTTGTTCATAATTTTGACCTTTTTGGAGAAAAGAGGTGTAGCAAGGTAGTTTGAGATCTATAAAATTGTTCATCTTATTGCCAGGAATGAAATTATGATTTATGATTATACTATATGACCTTCAGGAGTAAAGATGTGTAGCTATACTATCTGACCTTTTTCATGTTTAATACACTTTTTTTTTAATACAAAATTCACGTATTATACACATAATTATCACAAATTACTGAATACAAATAATATATATTAAAATATTATATTGTGGCAGAACTTTTAAGTTGTAATTTGCTAAAATTTTGCCAAAAAAAACACGTATGTATTTTATTCGTATAGCCGTGCGGTTATAACAAATTAATATCTATAAAGTATAAACAAATACAACTAGGAGGGTCTTTTTTATATTTGTTTTTATTAAATAGTATAGTCGTGCGACTATACCATTGAAATATAATGTATTTAAATAGTATAGCCCTTCGGCTATACTACGGTTTTTTTAAAAAGAAATAGTACAGCCGTCCGGCTATACGCCTTTTTTTAATTTTTTAAAACGAAATCGTATAGCCGCACGGCTGTACTCATTTTTTAAATTTTTAAAAAAAGAAATCGTACAGCCGCCCGGCTACACTGGTTTTTTCCAATTGTTTAAATAAATAGTATCATGCACGGCTATACCAGGGTTTGTCCAATTTTTTAAAAGAAATAGTATAGCCACACATATATACGCGGTTTTTTTCAATGTTTAAAAAAATATATGTTATAGCCGCCCTGCTATACCAAATTAATATTTCAATAATAATATATCCTTGTTTTGTAACCGTCTTAAGGACTTAGAAAAATTCACGTTTTTAAAGAAATAGTTTAGTTTCGCGGCTATACTATGGTTTTTTACCAAAAATAGTATACTCATATTGAATATGTACGTACAATACTTGGTAAAATTACGTCCTTTACAAAACACAGATGTATTACTGAAATATTAATTTGGTATAGCGGTGTGGCTATACTACTTTTTTTAAAAGGAAAAACAAACCGAGTATAGCCGAGCGGCTATACTATTTGTTTTAAAATGTTTTTAAAAAGGGTTGTGTAGCCGTCCGGCTATACGCTTTCTTTAAAAAAAATTAGGAAACGCCGTCCGGCTATATTATTTTTTTTAAAAGGAAAAAAATCGATTACAGCCGCACGGCGATACTATTTCTTTTAAAAAATTAGATAAAGCGTGTATAGCCGTTCGGCTATACTAATTTTTTTTATAAAAAAAACTGTATGTCGATGGTATAGCCGTTCGGCTATACTACTTAATAAAAACAAATATGAAAAAAGGACCCTCGTAGTTGCATTAGTTTATACTTTATATATATATATTAATTTTGTATAACCACGTGGCTATATGAATAAAATACGTACATATTTGTTTGGGTAAAATTTTGGCAACTTAAAAGTTCCGCCACTATATCGCCGTCCGGCTATACACCTTTTTTTTTAATTTTTTAAAACGAAATCATATAGCCGAACGGCTGTACTCGTTTTTTAAATTTTTTTTAAAAAGAAATAGTACAGCCGCCCGGCTACACTGGTTTTTTCCAATTGTTTAAATAAATAGTATCCTGCACGGCTATACCAGGGTTTGTCCAATTTTTTAAAAGAAATAGTATAGCGCACATATATACTCAGTTTTTTTCAAAGTTTAAAAAAAAAATGTTATAGCCGCCCTGCTATACCAAATTAATATTTCAATAATAATACATCCTTGTTTTGTAACCGTCTTAAGGACTTAGAAAATTTCACGTTTTTAAAGAAATAGTTTAGTTTCGCGGCTATACTATGGTTTTTTACAAAAAATAGTATACTCATATCGAATATGTACGTACAATACTCGGTAAAATTACGTCCTTTACAAAACACAGATGTATTACTGAAATATTAATTTGGTATAGCGGTGCGGCTATACTACTTTTTTAAAAAGGAAAAACAAACCGAGTATAGCCGATCGGCTAGACTATTTGTTTTAAAATGTTTTTTAAAAGGGTTGTGTAGCCGTCCGGCTATACTCTTTCTTTAAAAAAAATTAGGAAACGCTGTCCGGCTATATTATTATTTTTAAAAGGAAAAAAATCGATTACAGACGGCGATACTATTTCTTTTTAAAAATTAGATAAAGCGTGTATAGCCGTGCGGCTATACTATTTTTTATAAAAAAAACTGTATGTCGATGGTATAGCCGTGCGGCTATACTACTTAATAAAAACAAATATGAAAAAAGGACCCTCGTAGTTGCATTAGTTTATACTTTATATATATATATTAATTTTGTATAACCACGTGGCTATATGAATAAAATACGTACATATTTGTTTGGGTAAAATTTTGGCAACTTAAAAGTTCCGCCACTATATAATATTTTAATATATATTATTTGTATTCCCCATCGCAGCCAGTCGATCTCACCCCCATCACAAACCCATCTGACCTCAAAATCCTCCAAAAAGCCAAATGATTTCAATTTTAATATGTTTCTGAGTGTTGATTAAGCCAAGGTTTGATTTTAATTTTGAAAAGCTAAGGCTTGATTTCAACTTTGTAGATGTATGGTTCGAACTTGGTTTTACGAAAATAGATGTTACCTTCGGTGGGTTACCATCAAAATCGTTGTATTGTTTCAGTGGTAGTCCACCAAATTTGAACTTGGTTTTTACAAAAATAGATGTTACTTTCAGTGGGTACCACCAAAATCATTACCTTGTTTCAGTGGCTGTCCACCGAATGTGTTTCCGTTTTTCAGTGGTACTCCACCGAATTTATTTTCATTTTTCAGTGGTTGTCTAATGAATTCATTTCTTCTTTCAGTGATCATCTACCAAATTCCTTTTTGAGTTTGTATTTAATATTGGT